GTGATTACAGGGGGGTTTGCGCCATCCAGACTAGGATGGGGCCAGAGTCAGGTAATGGCGACTATCTTTTCACGAAGGAAGCTGGAAAAGGCTTTTTAGGACGAACTAACGAGGCCTTGCAAGGTGAGATGGCATCGATACCTCGTAGATTTGGAGCAGTAGCTAGTAGCCACACCAGCTGTGCGATGCAGCCACAATGAATGATGGATGTGGTATGAGTAGAACTAGAGAGTATGACGATATATCTCACACGACATATCACCGGAGAAGGCGGTGGCTAAGGGGGGGGAGCACAGCCTTCCAGGGGGAAGAAGGGGGAATGACATAGAAGGAAATTGTAAATATATGGTTAACCCTCTTTTAAGTCTGTACGGACATGGATTGCTAGTATGCAGTATGGACGTATCACAGCGAGCTATCCAGCAACTTGTGGAAGTGATTTAATGCTCGTGATTTGGGCGAAGTGCCTGGGACTGCATTGCTGCTTGTCACTTGCTTGCAGTCTGTGCAACCCCACTCTCTGCGCTTTGAGAGTACGATCTTAGCTCCCTGGTTCAATATTTGGCTCCCATTTTCGTTTATTGATGTCGTGCCGTTCAGCATCACAGGTAGCTTCGCTACTGGGTGTCCGGGATAGGACCAACAGGAATGCTATCCAGATATATTTGGCATAGAGCTGAGGTAGTAGGGGTCCGCTACCAGGGACAGAATCAGAGAAGGATTGCATTGAAGGGTATATCACTGAGATATAGGTAAGATTTTTCGTGGCTATTGGTTGGGAGTCGAGTTTGTGTATGCGCCTCAACACAAAATAAGCATGTACCAAGAACCAGCCGCTCTTCACCTTGATAACTAGCCAATCTCGCACCACAACCCTGTCTGAGGACAAGCCTCCAGTCCTGGTAAAGGCGAAGCGCAGGGTTAATGCAACTGTTTGTAGCCACTGCAATGGAGATCTCAGGATTGGTGAAAGTCGAACGAGTACCGGCTGATCCCAGCGCCTATTATTAGCATCCCTCCTGCCGTTCGTACTTCGCGTGTCCACACAGTACTGTCGAGGTAGCGTATGTCGTCCCGCTTACGAGAACGCGCCATCCGGACCTGCTGGCTCTAGATGCCCGGTATACTGAAAGGAACTAGACGGAACTGAGTCGGCATGCCCTTTTCCAGGGGTATGCTGCATGTTTGGGATGATCACTTCACGAATTAGCTGCATGGTCGGTCCCATCATCAGTCTCGCCACTGTACGGAGTAGACATCTTGTATTCCCACATCATGCATCATCATAGCAGCAGCAGCAGCAGCAGCAGTGGTAGCTGTAGTGATAGTTGATGTTGTTGATATTTTGTAGTTGGTGTGAAGTTGAAGTTTGACGTTGAAGATGAAGTCGTTTTATCCCAAACGAGCTGACCGCCTTGAGTTCTGCCGCCAGCCAACTAGTTAGTTAGCTAGTTATCATCAACTTCATTTGGCTTCAAGCGGCAATCGAGGTATCAAATCAAACAAGGCTACAGCAGAATCAAGCATCAGTCAAGTTACGAGACAAGCCACGCTGTCCAATGGAGCACGCATAACTAGTTAGTTTCCTCCATCTCACGTGGCAGCTGGCGCTAACAGAAACACGCTCTGTCTCCGTGGTTTTCCCATCTCTGGTTATAGCAACTCGTTTATATATCCTGATCCCGGTGGCGCTGGTCCAGGCCGGGTTCCCAGAAACCCCAGCAACGTCCCCGTCTTTATTCGGCTCAAATTCCAGCGTGATTCGCTTGTTTCGTGTGAAATTGCCAGCGGGGATGTCTGCCGTTGCAGGAGTTTTGGCTTGTGCATCGTCCAGGGATTGAGCTGTGCAGAAGAGTCCAAACACGAGAAGTGCAGAAGCTCCATGGGCCGACAGGAGGGCTCCCTCAAAGACGATTCGTCCGTTACAGCCGCGCCACCTCTCTGGTCGTGCCTGTCCCCTCTCAGCTCGCTCACGATTCGCAGCGGCCCGCCCTGCTGCCGCTGCTGGCTGGGGATCTGCTGGTAGCTTTTTCGGTCATGTGACCTGATGGTGGGTGAGGAGAGTCCAGGATTGGGCCAGCGAGTCCTCCTTTTCTCCCGCCTCCCTACGTGCAGACGACCTGCAGTCGTGAAGGAAAGCACCCGAAAAGTGGACAGACAGCAGGAAAAGCAAAAAAGAAAAGAAAAACACAAGAGGGACAGAAGAGAGAACCAGGAGGGAAAAAGAAACGAAACGAGAGGGAAAAAAGGTAAAGGGAGCCCTGTCTGATCATGCACACGTCTGTCAATCCTACTTGACAACATTGGGGCCAGGAGTACGGAGGTTGTCGCTTGGAATTGTTCGGTTTTATATCCATGCGTCTCTCCCTGCCCAACTATCGCCCTTGCGACTGGAATCTGTTTATCCAAGCTGAAACGGTGTAGTTATATATCATCTCGGCATTCTTGATCGCCTCATTTCCAGCTCTATTTTTTACTATATATACTCTATATTGGTACCAATTACCCCATTACAGGCTGTCATCGATCTTCAAGCTCTCCAAGCATTCCGCTCCAACACAAGCTGCAGTAATCGGTGTTCCTGGAAATTTATCTCGTGATTGCATATTGTGCCATATGACCCAGTAACCCTAGCACTTGCCAGGCTGTTGATCCATCCCTCTCCATCTCTGATTTATTTGGTGCTTTGGTATTATCCTTTGGACCAACTTTTAATTTGTCCTCCCTCTACCCATCCAGCAAGCTAATGACTCGGAATTTACACCGATCCTGAAACAGCAGGGAAAAGGACAGGAAGGAGAAAAAGAATAAAGCTGTTGGCATAAGGGGGGAAGTGACGCGCAAGACGGTACAATGGATAACGAACCCAAAGGCATACTGCGCCTCTCGAATGAGTTGTTGAAGGAAATACTGGATCATCTCACACGGGACCCAGAAAGATGCACCAGTGTTGACCACCGCGCATATCTTTTCTTTGAGAGCGTTAGGAGACCGAGCCAGCCGGATCCCCCGCGTTTGTGGCTAGAGGGCAAAAATGGGTATCATGAAGATCTCCGCAGCGATGTTGACCGATTCCGAGAGGTTTGCAAGCGGTTTTCAGAAGTTGGTGCAGCTCATAAGTTTAGTCGGGTTGTCGTCCGGTTTTCAGAACCTGCGTTTAAGAAACTTGACCAGCTGTCAAGCATTCCGCACCTGGCAAGACATGCAAGAACCTTTACACATATAATCCGGTCATTTTATGTAGAAGGTAAATTTTTGAATACCTGTCCTTTTTGTATTGTTCTCAATTCGTATCCTGTTTTACGGAAATGCTCACGGACCCTTTTATTTTACAGGAAGAGATAATATACCCCAGCTGCTTTCAACGGCCGATTCAAGCAAACTCAATCTGGCCGAACATATCCACCGCCTTGAAGAACAGAAGAGATTGGTTTCGTCAAATGAAGATTTGAACTCTCTTATAAGAGCAATGAAATCATTCACATCTCTTCAACACGTGAAGATCTTGAGGGTCCAAGACGAAGCTGAGCGTGATTTGCGATCGTTCATTGATAGGCATGATAATCCGTTGGACCCGTTAGTAGTGGTGGATTGGAATCCTGCATGCATTCGCGCCATTCAAAACGTTGGTCTAGCACTGTTGGAGGCTGGATCCCCTGCAAATCGCTTCTCGGGCCCACAGATCAACCCCCAGGCTACGCTTACACTGAAAAGGGCACCAGTGCAACTTCTTTCTGCCCTTGCAACAAAGTTGACATGCCTTGAGATTCATTTTGATGCAATGAGATATGTTAATGCAGAAATGAGGGAGCTCTCGGAAGTCTTCAAGACCTTATTCACGGCAGCTAAAAATATGGAAGCTATTCACCTAGGGTTCCCATCTCGGCTACCGTTAGACCTCCATCTGGAAGATATATTCCATAACGTGCATTGGGAAAGGCTCCGTGCATTTGGTATCCAAGCCTGGAGACTTGACTCAGAAGAGATTATTAATTTTGCTCGACGGCACCGCAGATCTCTCCGTGGCCTTCGCCTTCGTGATGTCCTGCTAAAGGAGGGAAGCATGTGGAAAGACATCTTATCCATGCTCCACGACGAAATGGAAAACCTTGAGTGGGTCAGTCTGCGTCGGATTGATTACTCGAACGCATTTGACGAGAAATGGGCAACAAGCGCAGACATATCCGATATCCAGTCGTTTCCAAACTCGGATAGTGAGGATGATGAGATGTTTGAGCCATACGTCCCAGGCAACTATCATAATATCAACGGAGACGATGACGATGATAATACCAGTCTCGGCGATGAATCAGACGGCCTCAGTTCTCATAACGGTGATGTTGGACCTAGAGCAAACCAAATAGAGTTGATACCAGACAATTCTCTGTCTGCTCCGTTGCTTCTACCGCCTTTCACCAACCAGTGGGAGGTTCTAAGCTCTATTCCAGCTGATGACTTGGAAGATGACGGCAGAACGGTGGATTATCGGCAGCGAAAGATTTGGGAAGCCTGGGTTATATCCAAATCGCGGGTTTCTGCTAGCCAGGACCGTTGTAGGTGAGCGTTTTACACCTATTCATACCTAAGAGAATTCGAGAAGGACACCTTTCTTTCCATCCTCCCCTTTTCATGTTAGGTCTTTGTGGTTGCTTTCTGTTCTTCTGTTTTGGTCTTTGGCCAACATAAAATCGTCTTTTCTTCCTTGAATGTACGTTGATGTTTTTATTTCCCTGATTTTGTTTTGTTTTGGGCGGATATATTCATCTCGACCTTATTGACGATGTTACGTATTTATATCTGCTTCGGCTATCTTATGAAGAATCATGAAGGTATGAGAAACGAACAATATAATCCATTAGCGTTGTGACATATCAGACATGTGACCATAATCTTATTTGAAGGCCTTGCATAGACAGTATGTATTTATCGGAAAGATGTATGCTATATTGGCGTATGGGGTAACTAATATCTGCAAAATGTACCCTTTCATTTGCTATTGATTATATCATGGGGATTATGGTTAACTCATCTAAAATATCAACCGGTGCAAGCCGACCGAGTACATAGCCGCATCTTTTGGCAGGATATTCCAAAAGTTCTAGGATCTTTGGATCTCCGAGTGCTTCCAGATATGCACAGAGTGCATAGCATTCAATCTGACCTCGTGAATATAACCAGGTGTCAGGCCGCTCGCATAACTTCCCGAGCCAATATGCAAGTATAATCATGCAACTGGAGTCTTTAGCAAGTAGTTTATTCGTATAGTCCGGTAGCAGTCTCCCCATAAAACCTAAGATCTTGGAGAAATTCTCCCGGTTATGTTCAAGCTTAAGAATCGGGGTAAGCATTCTCAGAGGCCAGAGACAGGGGTTATCATCTTCGGTAGTTGTATCCGTTATTCCACATATTTCAGCAAGCTCTGGGTGCAGGCCCACCTTTCCCGGCCTATGGTCACCAAACAATTCCTCGTCTGAAGACTCCATAAAAACCTCATACCAGATGCTATGTTCAAGGTAGCGGCTGAGGTGCATGAGGAGAAAGCGTAATCCACCTTGGATGAGAAGCCAGTTAAGATCTGCAGGGTTATTGGTAAAAACCCACGATTTGGTATAATCGGGGTCAGCGCCGAGGAAGGTAATGCTGCTCATGAACATGCATGTGGACATTAGACCATCCATATTGTGGAGACCAATGCTAGTTCTAATTTCCTCCTGGTATTGTCTAAGGGTTTGCTGCCAGTGATATGCATGCAGAACTTTGTATGAAGAGTCACTCTTGGCCTGGTCCGCTATAGCGGTGGCGCCGATACCAAGAATAGCATGCATGAGATATGGCGTCTTCCCACGTGTCGAGTCAACAAACAAGACCAGATCAAACACACAAGGGAGAAGTAGATGCACCAACCTTGAACGCCAGAGGTAGCATTTTTGTTGCCACAACTTTCTCTCCAGCATCAGTGAGTGGAGTGTTGTCATGTTTGGTATTTAGAAAATGATGAAGGGCAATTATTGATTTTGAATCAGCGGTCAAGGGCCGAATCTTGGTCTTTGACCCTAGTTGGAGAGCGGATGTGACTCGCGTGGCAAGATCTGCCCTTGACATTGTGTGAAATACCGAGTCTATAGAGCCACATTCATTTCCGGTAATAGACACAGGGCTACCTGATCCTGCGTTGAGAGGTACCAACGCTTGCTGGTCCAGGTAATCACAAGATACACCATAAGCTTCGCACCTAAGGCAATGCGGCCGCGTTTCATCACACTGGATATAGTTGTTTTTGTCAGTAATCCCTGGGATGTACATGCATTTTGCATGGCCGCCTAGGTATGGGGGCCCGGAGATTGATTTCTACCTTAACCCTGCGCTTCTTGCAGTTGCCACACCCAGCTCTAGATTTGCGATGGGACTTTCGAGAACTGCATGGCTTCCCGGTCGACTGGTCGCTGCCGGAAGAAGAAGTATTTCGCCGTTGAGTTCGCTTTGGAACTGTACAGTTCTTTATCCGAAAGACCACCTGGTTGCCGATCTTTCGTGACGGGGTCACAAATACCCCCTTCTGTTGGCTTAGATTGCTTTCCCGATCATGATGATATTCTGAGGGGGCGGATAGATGCTGGATATTGTTATTTAGCATTGTGCTTTCGAGTAGACGTTCTCCCCACAGTGTGTGTCGGTCAAACTTGGTGATATTGATACGACGAATATCTAGATTGGGCAGTTCTTGGAGCAAGATTATCAGTCTAGTCGATATCCCCAGACAGGGCTCGATATATAAATTTCAACGATCCCTATCCTGGAAGGCTGTGCACCTATTTGGCTCATCGTTCCAAGTAGTACACAAGGCAGTGGGTCAGCGAGGCAGTGTTTTTTCTGCGTTTCTTCTGGCTCCTGTTTTGCTTTTGATTGTTCTTGAGCGTTTCGAAGGTTAAAAACTTGAGGCTGAATACGAACAGGCGCTAGACCCAATATGGCAATATTTCGTGTTCTAGGTGTGGATGACATAAGCGGGCTGTTGGAGCCTCTGCAGACGACGATATAAAAACTGACAAGATGGGGATGGCGAGATGGGCGAAGGGGGGCTGTGGTCCTTGAAGGGCGAAGATGATAGGCAAGGGTGATCATGTTCCCGTCAGGAGAAGGCTGGGTCCATATAAAATAAAATAAAAAGTGTGCTTGTTTGCAGTTACATTTCTAGAACTCCACATACTATACAAAAGGTTGGGAAACAGTGGTGGTGGTACATTGGAGATTATGGGGTCTGGACCCGTGATGTTGGCAGAGGAGGGAGTACGTCAGATGTCTCTTCAATTTCCTCAGCATCGAGGTCTTCATCGTCCTCTGCATAGCCCATGGCTCTACTCCAAACTCCGTCCCAAATCCCCTTTTTGGCAGCAAGAGTGCCTACCATTAACAGCGGTAGATGCCACACGCTCGCCCAAAACAAGCCTCGCGCAGTCCCCTTAGCTCCTTCAAGTATCCAGAACCGATAGGCTTCCCTGGTGAGCCAGGAGTTGATGAGTACTCCACCAATCAAAAAACCCTTATCAACTACTCCAGCCCACCACAGACCAGCACATAGAGGGAACATTAAGAGGGAGTAGCGCAAAGCTACACGGCCATTTCGCGCTGGATTGGTCCATGCAAGCATCTTATATCCGGCATTTTTGTATTCGTCCCGAATTAGATGAGACAAGGCATTGAAGTGCGGGAACTGCCACGCAAAAAGGAGGCCAGCTAGGAGCCAGCCCCCCACGCTCTCTGGCCCGAACAGGAGATCCTTCCAGGTATCGTGACCAGTTATTGCCGTTTGACCAGCCGCAGCCGCCCAGCCCATTAGAGGGGGGATCCCGCCTACCACAGCCCCAATCCAGGTATTAATGACAGAGATCCGCTTCAATGGGGTATATATAAAGCCATAGAGGATAATGTTGGCGGCTGACAGGCCAGCTACGGTCGGATTCGTGCCAAAATAGAGGGCAGTAAGACCAGCAGTTGCTGTTCCAATAGCGAAGAACACAGCTGCACGGGTAGACATAAGTTTTCGAACCAAAGGCCGATTGCGCGTTCGAGACATGAGGGCATCGTATTTAGGCTCAAGAAGCATGTTTATTGTGTTGGCACTGGCGCTTGATAAGAATGTTCCCACAGTCAGATAACAAAACGTCAACGTAGAAGTAGAGAGAGTCGGTAGAGGGGTGACGGTTGGGTCGAGATGTAATATCGAAGGAACTGGGTAGAGACCGTATGCTGTAGTAGCTGTCAGAACGATTAAAAAGGATAGTCGTGGCTTCGTAAGGGCAAGAAAGGCTGCTAGTTTTCCCTTCAGAGAAGATTTAGGCAATGACGAAGAAATGCTCGAGAGCTGCGAAGATGCATCGGGGCGTAGCTCTTGCTCCGAGGAATTGGTTCCGCCTTGGGCTTTTAGCCGCTGCCTCCGTCGATGTGGAAGCTCTTGCACTGCCTCCGCAGTGCTCTGCGGTATTGAAATCGGTTCATCGGTTGATGTATATGTGGTAGGGGCTTTCGAACTGAAGAGAGCTCCAGTCTGCTGCGTAGAGGAGACGGACCGTGACCATGGCAAGAAGGATCTAGGTCTAAGCTCGCTGGACGTCAATGGGTCATGGGACGAAAAGTATGACTTCCGTAGGTACCGCGGACATAATTGAGTATCATTCTGCAAGTATCTCACTGCTCCTGTAAAGGTCCGTAGCTGGACATGCTGTGGTAGTGGACCGTTTCTCGAAGTCAAGATGCATCCCATGCAGCGACCTCCCGGCTCCAACTTGGCCCATGGCCGCAGGGAAAACGCCCTCAGGCTCATCACCAGGCTGGAGATTGTTCAACGGATGGTGAACCCGGCATCCCTCAGCCCATTCTTCGTTCTTCAACGCTTTTCTTCTCGACGTCGCTTGCGTTTTGGTTTTTGATATCAGAAAGTCCACGCCCCCAAAAGGGCTTAGCTCCAACATGACTAATATACAGCACGTGATTATTGCTTGGCATGAGCCTCCTTTTCGCCGCCTTACCCAATTGGGATTCTGCCATTGCAAAGCACGAAAGTTGTCCAGAAGTCAAAAGACATCAACACCGACGGCGAACGGCATCTACAACGATCGAACAGACAAGGAGCTTGAATTAGCGGGATAGACAAGATGGAGTCGCTACCACAGATTATTCAGTCAAGCATAATAAACCCCCTACAGCCCCTACTTCGGCAAATCACTACATCTTTGCCTGCCCCCGTGAACGACGCGCTTATCTCACTACTCGGCGCCAACTGCTTCACATCCCTCGTCCTCGGCCTTGATATAACAAAAGATCCGGAGTGTCTGCCGCTTGCAATCTCCAAAGCTCTTGGAATTGCCATCGTATTGTTCAGCGCGATCGTCAAAGTTCCGCAGATTCTCAAGCTGATCTCCTCACGCTCAGCAGCCGGAGTCTCCTTCACATCTTACGCGCTTGAGACGACCAGCTTTCTTATCACTCTTGCTTACAATGCGCGCCAGGGATTTCCTTTCAGTACATATGGCGAGGTTGCTTTGATTGCCGTGCAGGACATTGTGGTCAGCGTCTTGGTTTTGGTATTTTCTGGCCAGACAGCTTCCGCAGGAGCGTTTGTCGCTGCGGTTATCGGTATCGTCTACGCCTTGCTGTTTAGTGGCGAGACCATCGTTGATCAGGCTACTATGGGGTACCTCCAAGCTGGAGCTGGACTATTGGGTATTGCCAGCAAGCTCCCCCAAATCTATACAATCTGGAACCAGGGAGGCATTGGACAGCTTAGCTCTTTTGCGGTAAGGCGCACCTTTACCTAGATTTCCAATTTGCTACTTTCCACCGTCATATGCTATCTGAGATGCGATATCTAACTCGGCTTTGATCTAGGTTTTTAACTACCTTTTCGGATCCCTCTCTCGCATCTTCACTACCCTCCAGGAAGTGGACGATAAACTCATACTCTATGGTTTTGTGGCTGGATTTACCCTTAACGTCATACTCGCTGGTCAAGTACTCTACTACTGGAACGCTCCATCTACTGTCCCCGAGAAGTCTTCAACCCGGGTTTCACACGAGCAAGAATCCGCAGCAGTATCGAGCGGAGTGTCCCAGAGTCCTTCGGTCAAAGGCCCATCAACAAGACGAAGGGGCTGATTAATTATATCTAATGGATACCTTATCTATCAATTGTAGTATTGGGTTGGTTTTATCTAATGACGAAAATAATAGTTAATGTTTATTCTTCTATGCTGCGGCTTGTTTCGATTTTGGAAGTAAAGTTGAGCAATTTGGCGTCTCTTATCTTGGTTGTGTTCCAGTTTAATTAATGACTGCTATCTTTGTCTTCTTTTTGAAGCGGTTATGCTTAACTGTCATATTCCCGTTAATCTTGGTATTTCTGAAGAAACCGATTTTTATAAAAGATTATTTTCTCAACGTGGTCGTGGCTCTGCGCCTGTCATCATATATCGGAAGAAATCATCCAGAGGCATGGTAGTAGTATCCCTAGATGGAAGGCCGGCACCAGGCTTCACCTCCTCTCCAGTACCCTCCATCACTTCATCCTCGTCCTCAGATTCGTCAAGGTCTCGTCCAGCCGCCCCCTCGACATTCTCATTTGATTTCCTAGTTAAGCCTGTAATCACGTTGTTTAAACCGGCTTCCTTCTCTTCGATAGTATAATCGCCGCCCCAATTTCTCCTTCTAGCTTCCATGTTGGCCTCAATCGGTGCCCATTCCCACAAAGCCTGTAAGTCTTCCCCCGATAACCGCTGTGTATTAGCACCGCTTTCAGATGTTGAAATACTGCCAGCTATAAGTTGCTGTTGATCACCACTTGATTGTTCAAGGGCTTCTTTTCCCACTGATCGCCCGTGTGCTAGCCAATCTTCTATCCGGGGTTCCAGTTTTGTTCGCATAAGCTGGTTGAGCATAGAGGATTCCGTCCTGCCGGGAAACGCGGGTGTTGGATACACAA